GTTCTGTACACCAATGCTCATAGCAGCATTATTCAACATCACAAGAACATGGAAATAGCTCAAATGTCCAACCACAAATGAATGGATTGAGAAATTATGGTACATTCACACGATGGAATACTATGTAGCACACAGGAGCAATAACTTTGTAAATTATTACCTAACTTGGGAGCCACTGGAAAGTATTATGCTGCGTGAATTCAGTCCCACAGGGATGAACTTTTTAGAAAACTGTTATTGTAGAATGAGTATAAGGATCCAGGAGGGATGGGAGAGGCTGGAAGCAGAGGGATGTGGATGTGCAGGGGGAAGGGGGAATTAATCATTGGGTTGTCCAACTTGATGGGTGGGGGGTGAGGGAAATTGAAAGAATTTTTTCAAATTTGTATTTGAATTTTGTAAATAAACAAGTACAGGGGAAAAAAAAGAAATGGAATCTTGAAGAAAAAAAAAAGAAAGAATGTAATGGAGTCCTGAGATCAACGTGTTTGAGGACGGCTGTCCTGCCTGGGCTATAAGTAGCAACCATATTTATTTTGTCTTTATAGATTTGGTGATGGATGTGAAAAAAATGTGGGGAAATTATGAAATTGTTGTAGAAGAAAGTCAATAGAAGAGCATTCCTAAAAAAAATTAAAAAATTAAAAAAAGAAGAGCATTCCTAGAACTAATTTCTCCCCATTTGAGCAATTAGGTAAAAGGTTGCATATATTATTTTATCTGCCGCCCCAAATATATGGGAAATTATAACCAGAATAGAAGAAAAATTGGATGCGTTATGGTGCTGAGAAAGCAAATCAAAGGGTTTGGAACAGAACAAATCCCAATACTAATAAGCTTCTAGGTTATGTTACATCAAGTCAAGCCAAGAAGAAACTAGAATCTATGTTAATTATGAGTCTTTAAAAGTTATAGAAAAAAGTAATTTATTGCACTTTGTTATTTGAATTCTTTTAAATCAAGCTCTAAATTATGTATCACAACAAATTAATGTTGTTGCTGTGTACCATTGACTCAGAACTGACTCAGATGATCCTCCAACAGATTTTCAGAAGCAATTAATCACACTGCAAGAGAACATAGTCCATATTTCTTTCACAGAGCAGCTGGTGGATTTGAACCATACTGCTTTGGGTTGGAAGCCCAAATTTTCACAACTAAGCCATAAGATTCCCCTCCATTTAATTAATGTTGTTGAGCTGTCAAGTTGAGCACAACTCATAATGACCCTATGAACAAAAGACCTGAACCCTGATTCAATTGAGAGTAGCAAATATTTACCATTCATCCATTTTGAATTATTATTTTTCTAGATCAAAGACATAAATGAGTAGAAAACATGTACTGATTGTTGACTTACTTGATTAAGCCTATGGGAATCAGAGACTGAAGTTTGTGATTCAAGCAGTTGTCTTAACTTTTAGGTAGTTCCCAAGGAGAAAGCCCGCTAGCTTGGAGGTCAGCCTCGTGGCCAACTGATTGGAAGAAAGCCACTCTAGTCCCCATTTTTAAGAATGGTGATCCAACAGAATTATGGAAATTACCAAACAATATCATTAATGTCACATGCAAGCAAAATAATGCTGAAGATTATTAAAAAACAGCTAGTACACAGACAGAGAACTTCCAGAAGTTCAAACTGGATTTAGAAGAGGGCTTTGTCATTGCTGATGTCAGATGGGTCAAGACTGAAAACAAAGAATGCTAGAAGAATGTTTATGTGTGCTTTATTGACTATGCAAAGCCATTTGACTGTGAATAATCACAAATTATGGCTAATGTTGAGAAGAATGGGACTCCCATAACACATAACTGTGCTTGTGCTAAACCTATACTTATACCTAGAAGCTATTGTGCAAACAGAGCACAAACAGGGACACACAACACTACGTGGTTTGAAATTAAGAAAAATGTGATCAAGGTTGTATCCTTTCTCTACCTATTTAATCTATATGCTGAGCAAATTATTTGAGCAAGTGGACTGTATGAAGAAGTATGCAGCATCAGGACTGGAGGATAACTTACAGATAACCTTTGTTATACAGATGATACAAATTTTCTTGGTGGAAATAAAGAGGACTTGAAATGCTTGCTGAAGATCCAAGACTGTAGCCTTCAGTATGGATTACATCTCAAACTCAGGAAAATGAAAATTCTCACCACTGGACCCATAGGCAACATCATGGTAGATGGAGAAAAGATTGAAACTGTCAACAATTTCATCTTACTTGGATCCATAATCAATACACTACGTAACAGTAGTCAGGATATCAGGAAATGTATTGCACTGGAAGTCTGTAGTGAAGGGCCTCTCCAAATAATTGAGGAGCAAAGATGTCAGATTTAGGACTAAGGTTCACCTGATTCAGGTCATCGTCTTTTCAATCATTTGCTTTACATCTGAGAACTGGACAATAAATAAGGATGACAGAATATAAATTGATGCCTTTGAATTGTGGTGTTGGAGAAGAATACTGAATATCCCATAGACTGTCACAAGAATGAACAAATATCTTGGAGAAAGTGCAGCCAAAGTCCTCCTTGGAGGCAAAGATGATAAAGCTCTGTCTCATATTCTCTGGGCATGTTGCTAGGAGAGGCTATTTCTTGGAGAGTGATATACTTGGAAAGGTGGAGGGATGGCAAAGGAGAGGAAGACCCTTAACTTGGTAGATTGACACAGTAACTGCTGCAATGAGCTCGAGTGTGTCAGAGATTGTGAGGGTGGCACAGGACAGAACAGGGTTCAGATCTGTTGTTCAGGGTACCTATTGAGTTGGACTTGACTTGATGTTACCAACAACTAGGAAGAACTATATTCCTATGTCATCAATTCATTCAACAGTTGTTAAATACCTTCTATGTGTTAGGAAATAAAAGCAAGCTTATAAAGGTCAGTCAAGCATCCCTTTCCCACCTAAGTGGTGTGACCTTTTAGAAGTAAATTTCCAGAAGTCAATTCCTTCGTATGTACCTTTGGGAGGATTTGAGCTGTATTCATTTTGATTAACAGACAGAAGTTTAACCATTTATGCCACCCATCGACTCCTTGAGTCTCTTGTTTTTTAAAGAAAGATTTGTCTGTAGTCATATGTGTGAATGGGCTAGAGGTAAAGTACTGCTATTTACAAACCTGAAGAACAGGTTAAAAATACAACTTTACTAGTCATACTTCCACAGGAGGGAAGAGAGAAGCTTTAGTTTTTAACAGTTCTTGTGTAAAGTTGCTTACAGCCAGAATTTTGACCGAAGAGTGAACCACCAAGAATGAATTGGCTTTTCCGAAAAGCAAAAGCAATAAAGAAAGAATCATCAACCTACAACCAGGAGAAGATAAAGTAGATGAATGGGATCTTCTAAGAATCAAATCCCTATGCACATCCAAAAACTTCTCCAGCAGGGTAAAAAGGGAAGCCACAGACTGGGAAAAAGTATTTGGTAATAACATATCAGATAAGGGACTTATATTCAGAATTTATAAAATACTTGAGCACCACAACAAGATAAAGGTAAAGAATCCAATAGAAAAATGGGCACAGGATATGAACAGACACTTCACTGAAGAAGACATTCAGATGGCTAACAAGCACATGAAGAAATGTTCAAAATCCCTAGCTCTAAGAGAGATGCAAATTAAAACAACTATGAGATATCATCTTACCCCAGTCAAAATAGCAAAATTTAACAGAACAGCAAGCAACAAATGCTGGCGAGGTTGTGGAGAAACTGAAACCCTTATTCACTGTTGGTGGGAGTGTAAAATGGTGCAACCACTGTGGAAGGTGGTATGGTGCTTTCTCAAAAAGTTGCAAATAGAGATACCGTTTGACCCAGCAATTCCATTACTGGGAATATACCCCCAAAAGACCATAAATGATATCCAAGCAGATATATGCACACCAATGTTTATTGTGGCTTTGTTCACAATAGCAAGGAGCTGGAAACAACCTAAGTGCCCATCAACAAATGAATGGATAGAGAAGCTGTGGTATATTTACACAATGGAATACTACATTGCATTAAAAAACAAGGAACTCATGCAATATTATTCAAAATGGGTGACTCTGGAGAACTTATGCTGAATGAAGTATCCCAGCCACAAAAGGACAAATATTGCATGGTGCCACTGTTGTAAAACAGGACTGACCAAAAAAAACAAAACAAAAAATACCCAAAAACAAACAAACAAAAAAAAACCCAGGACTGACCTTGGGGCTGAGGAGAGCCTGAGAAAGATGGGTTCAATAATGTATACTTCATTGAAACAGATGAGGGAGAAAACTGTTTAAAAGGGATATATGATTAGGTATTTTTGTCATGACAGGAGTCTAGAGCGAAGGCTACATCGTGGAGGGGACCTGGGGGAGGGTTTGTAAAAGAATGAAATAATTTTTCTTTTACTTTTCCAAGAGGGTAGTGTACTGGGGGGGAGAGTTAGGAGGGGAGAAATGTGCAACAATGAATGAATGGAAATCCAAAGTTTCTGTAAATTTTTACTGAAATTAATAATAAATTTAAATTTTTAAAAAGGAATCATCAATGGTTGAGGATTAAAGCATAAACCATGGTATTGAATGGTTAGAATTCCATATGGAGGTTATTTGGAATAACAGTAATAGTTGATTAGAGGAGTAGGTCTTGAATTTTATATCAGTAGACAGGCAAACAAAGCTCTAATTTAGCTCAATATAGAAGGCCAAAGAAGAAATGCATCAATCCTTCAGAATCAGGCAGCAAGGGAAAAGCATCAAAATGAAAACACTCATTTCTGAGTTTAGAAAACCAAAGCATTCCAGTAGATGTAATATTTTTAAGTGAATAGAAGTGGAATAAAGCCAAGGCAGTTAGGTTGTGACCTTACAACCAAAGGCACTGAATATTTTACTACTTAGCTAAAACATTCAGTCCCTTTCCAAATCGCCTGCCTGGGGCCCTGGGAGAGTCTGGCTTTGATGGATTTCATTGATGACAATGTACTTTCCCAATCTTTTTCTTTTTAGTTCGAAACCCAGAGGGACAGATAAAGCTTTATTCCAAAGGAGCAGATACTATTCTGTTTGAAAAACTTCATCCTTCCAATGAAGACCTTCTCTCTTTGACGTCAGACCATCTTAGCGTAAGTGCCTTTGCTATAAGGTTGGCATGGGGGCCCTTTTGCCATCTCTATTGTTAGACCTTGTTTTCAAAAAAATATCAGCGAAACAATCTGACTCCTGAAATAGAAAGCATCTGGGAGGCAGTTGGAAGGGCAACGGTGCCAGTGAAGGCCTGGAGACTGGCACATGGTCTTGTTCTTGCCCTGCTGGGAGGCCGCTTCGTCTCACCACAGGTGGATTAACGCACAGCAGCTGAGAAGTAGCCTCTGAGTGTGGGCTCTGGGCAAAGGAAGGCTCTTGGGTGCTTTGTGACCACCTGGCGGTATTGGCACTTATCCCTTTGTTCCTGGGGCTGCATCTCTGCAGACACTGAATTGGTTCTAGAAGATCAGAAAGATTGCAGCATTCCCCGGAGTACTGATGTTTTTGCCACCAAATGAATCATTTCTGGATTGAACTTGGACATATTTTATGATTCTACTGAGGAGGTTTAAACTCTCAAGTCATTGCCATCATGTCAGAACCACCTCAGAGCTGACCCTCCATTGGGTTTCTGGACTGTAAATCTCATGGGAGGAGATTGCCCATCTTTCTCCCTTGGAGCCATTGATAGATTTGAACCCCCAGAGATTTTGAGTGAGCAGCACAGTTCCCTATAGACAAGGCTACCAGAGCTCCCTTTAACGAAACTAGGGGAACATTATCTGGAACCATTTTTTTCTTTAGTGGGTTCTTTTCTAAAAATCATTATATAAATCATTATGAGTTGCTTATGTTTCAGATTGAAACTGCCAAATGTACACAGTCTGCAACCATGACTAACTTCTTCCCAAAAGCTTTCTGAAGGGAATAGGAGGTGGTCTTTGGCACTCTTTTCAGTTTGCAAAACAGTAAGAGTCTATGAATTAAATATAAGCGTTACCTATTTTAAATCTGTGATTCATATGTCACTGTAATGTTTGTTTGAGGGTCTGTTTAACCCAATGTGAACTTTAAGGGCAACTGGTCAAAACTTTCATTTCCTCCTGTGTTTCTTTCCTTCCAAAAAATTATTGAGGATTCATGTTCTTTGTCAAGCCCTATATTTAATACAAAACATTCTCTGAATCTTTAAAACACAAACAAACAAATAAAATAAATAAAAAAACCCTTTGCCTGACTTTAAGTTTAAAGAATGATGGTTTAGTAATATTGGTTACAAACATAGTTATTGTTTTTGTCTTTCCAATAGAACATTCTTGATTTTCTTTTAATCTGTTCCAGAAGGCCGGCATGGTCTTTTAAAATTTTCTTTGTTTTCTACTCCCACTTTATTTTTGTGAAAACAACACTGGAATCATAAGCATCAGATATTTGCCATTGTTCAAATACCAACGCCTTAGCTTTTCACACATTCTCCTTTTATCTTAAAGTATAGGATGCCTAAATTTGATCTTTTTACACGTATATGCAAAATAACTTTCTCCCCAGAGAATATCAATGTGCTTTGCTGTCCATGTCATTTTCTTATTTTAAAGCTCTAGATTTGTGTCTTTAAAGTTACTTTTGATTATTGATTTTTGAATTGCTTTATGATAGGATAAGACCTTGCTCAAATACTCAGTAAAGATTACACTTGTATTACATGTGCTCATTAAAGAACTTAAATAATCTGGCCCCTTTTGCAGTGTCTTCTTAGAGCTGATTTGTGCAAAACAGAAAGGAAGCCACTGGCAACACCCAGTAGGGCTGTAAGGCAAAGGCAAAGAAGTTTTTGTGTGGATTAAGAGGAAAAAAGCTTGTTACGGAGCTGTAACAAGACTTTCAGATCCTCAGGGGACATCCAGCAGTGTTATTGGAACTCAGGGCTGGTTAAAATATGATTGGAATAGTTGACATGCTCTGAATGGCCTAAGAAATAATGTTGGTTATTTTTTTTCTATGGTCCCTCTGGGTTAAGCCATATCATTGCAATAGCCCCTGACCTTCTTTCCATTAACTTAATTAAAGTACGTCATGGTTTAACTTGTACCTGATCAGAAGCCCATGTATGTACTACAAATCAAACTGCAACGGAAGAGACATGATCAATGACAATGTACAAAGAAGAAGAAATAGCTGTAAAATCTCTTGGATTATAGAAGCTTAAAAAAGGACCACTGGAGGCACAGGCAAAGTGGGAGGTTTTGAATATTTCCCCACAATAATCTCCATATGTTTCTAGCTATTGTGGGGTGTGTGTGAGACTTGGCAACTACTAGGCTACTGTATTTTTTCCCTATCAGAAGGATGAAACACCTAGAGAGAATTTTCTAAGACTAGCGTGGAGGATCCCTGGTGGTGTAGTGTGTCACATGTTGCTCTGATAAGGGAGAGGTGGTTATGTACTGTCATGACAGCACCAGCTTATAGCTGACCCTTCAAGAGGATTTTCAGAGGCTGTGACTCCTTTGGGAGGAGATTGCCCACCTTTCTGCCATGGCCTTTGAGATGGCAGTGCAACTCCTTATCACTATGATAACAGAGGTTTTGTAGTTGTTTTGTACTTTTGAGTGGGAACCGACCCATAGCTGACCTGCCCATGTGTCTTTAAAGCCAATTAATCAATGGGAGGAGGCTGCCATCTTTCTCCCGCATAGCAGCTGGTGGATTCAAACCACTTGCCTTTGGGGTTGCAGCACAGTGTCCTAGCACTAGGCCACCAGAGCTCAAGGAGGGATGCTCTTCGACAGCACTGGGTTTGTGTGACTGTCAGTTTATTGAGACACTGAAGGAGAAACCAAGACTGTGTGGTGCAATGGTGAAATGCTTGACTGTTCACTGAAAGGTCATCATTTTGAATCACTAACAGCAGAGATTTGGCAATAAATTCCTGTAAAGATTGCTCTTGTTAGGTACTGTTGAGCTGGCGTTGACTCACACTGACCCTATGAACAACAGAATGCAACCCCGCCAGATCTGGCAGCATCTTCAGAATCCCTGCTGTGCTTAAACCCATTGTTACAGCCATTTTGCCAGTCTGTCTTGTCGGAAAACCCTATGAGGCAATTGTACTCTGTTCTGTAAGACCACCAAACTCAACAGAACACAACAACAAACAACAATAAAGAAATATGGTCTCTATTCAATTTGACCATTTATTAAATACTATCCACAAAACATAATTTAAAACAGCTTTTTATAATGGAAATAAAATTTTTAGAGAGAAAAGTTAAGAAATTATATAGAAGAATCTACAATGAAAGGTAAAACTCAACCTCTGCTTCTAGTCCTGATTCCAAGGAACTAATTTCTTTTCTCTTTTTTCTTCTTCTTGTGTGCTGTGGAGTCTGATCCGACTGGTACAGGAGGAGATAGCTCCTCCTTCTCCAGCAGAGCATCTGATGGACTCAAACCACTCACCTTCTGAATTGCAGCACAGCTTCTTGCCACTAGTCCATTAGAACTCCCTACTAACTTCTTTTCTGTTCCTTCTTTTTTGCCTCTTCAATTACTATTATGACCTTGAGCAATATATTTATTATATTTCTATAATCTAATGTTTACTTATTCAATTATTATTTAACTTCTTAATAGAAAATATCAAGCAGTTGTAACAGGTGCACACCATCAAGATGCAGTAATTGTTGACATTTTTCTTCAGTCCTGTTTTATCTACCTCTTCTTGTTGTTGTTGATTGCCGTCAAGTTGAGCATGACTCATAGCGACACAATGAACAAAAGGTTTGAAGCCTTTCTATAACATTTACCAAAGTTCATAGAGTTTCCAGATTCATGTTGTTTAGGAAGTGGATGCCACTCCTGTTCTAACTAGGCTTTTTTCCAAATTGACCTATTTAAAAGTAGAGCTTTCTGGTAACCTAGTGGGTAAGGAATTGTGCTGCCAAACTGAAGGCAAATAGCTCAAATCCATCAGTTACTTCTCAAGGGAATGATGAGCAATCTTCTATGTGATTTGCAGGTTCTGAAAATTCCTTGGAGGGTCATTTTTGACTTGATAGCACCTAATGACGCCAACATTTTAAAGCAAATTCTGGCCACAATTTTATTTCACTCTTTTATAATTCTGCACTTTATCAAACTGATGTTTTATTTGTTGATTCTTCACTTGAAGGATATAAAGTTAGTATGATGACACTCTCACTCACTTTCCACTCCCTACATTTCTCAGTTATATGTTATTTTCACTTTGTCAAGGCTTATAGCATTTACTCCTTCTTCTTTAGCCAAAATCAAGTCTTCAATATTAATTAGTTAATTATAATGTATGTTGTTGCTATGTGCCATCAAGCCAACTATGACTTATGTCATATTATAGTATATATGACCATATATACTACAGTTTTGAACCCTGCACTCTCCTGAGCCAATCTCACTATCTCTTGATAACCTATACTCATTATCCTAGTTATTGTGTCAACCCATCTCACCTGGATTGTTCCTCTCCTGAACTGTCCCTTGACTGTTCCCAGCATAATATTGTTCTCCAAAGAATGGTCCCTCCTGGATATATGCCCAAAGTATATGAAACAGAGTGTCAAAATCCTTGCCTCCAAGGAAAAGGTTGGTTTCACCGACTCCAGGACAGACCTGTTATTTCTCTTGGCAGTGCGTGATATGTTCGATATTCTTCTCCAGCACCACAACTCAAAGGCATCAATTCTTCTTCTTTGATTCTTGGTCATTGTACAACTCCCTGATACATAGCAAGTAATTGCAAAGATCACTTGTTATGCATCAGAGAGTTGGACAATGACCGAGGAGGATAGAAGGAGAATTGATGCCTTTGAGCTGTGGTGCTGGAGAAGAGTATTGAGGGGACCATGGACTGCTAGGAAAACAAACAGATTCATCCTGGAAAGGGTCAAACTGGGCTGCTTCTTGGAGGCAAGGATTCTGAGGCTCCGTCTAACATACTTTGGACATGTTGCAAGGAGGGACAGGTTCTTGGAGAGGCACATCATACTTCGTAGGGTGGAGGGACAGCGCAGAAAGGGAAGGTCCCCTATGAGATGGATTGATTCAGTGACTTGGGTAATCG